CACCCTTGCTTGTGCCAATATTAGGCAATTAGCAAATGGGAATGTGTTTTGCAAACACAAGGCATCCTTCATTTTATTTTATTCTTTTGGTTATTAACAGCTGTGGAAGTGTAGCTAATATTTGTCCCTTGAAGAACAAACAGCTTGTTTGTGGCTTGAACATAAAGACCGTCACCCACACGTGAAGTGCTAATAATTGCAAGTCTTTAATGGTGCTGTAATTTGCAGATAACAGCTCTTCAAATGTCTGTGTTTTTTCTTCTTCCAGGATTTAACCTTAGCCAGACATGCCTGGCTTAATAATAAGGTTGACTCTCTCGTTCTGACAAGAGCCAGGTCTGAACTTTGGCTCAAAAAATGTTCGAATGAGGCATGAGGCATTCAGATCAATTAGCCTCTCACTTCTCACCCTAGGCCTCTTACTCCTGGGGAGACATCTGCAGGTCGAAATCACACCTCCACCCATCTGTCTGCTTGCTGGCTGGGATGTCCAGGCCACACCTCCTCTGGTGAGCCCTTATGGCTGCCTGGGAGCCCACCTGCAGGGTGGAGCTCCAGTGCACCTTGGGTACCACACAGGCAGGGCTGAGACCACCCAACGGCCCCACCTATCCTCCTCCACTGCCCCCTCCCTGGCCCCTGTTTCCCCTGGACCAGCACAGAGGCCTCCTCCCTGCCTCCCCTTCCACTCTGGCCCCTGCCTTTCTTGCACACCCAGCAGTCAGGGTGGGCTTTTCAAAACATCATCCTACTGGCATTATTCCCATTGCTCTGCCTGTCGGTCACTTCCTGTTGTGCCTGAAATAAAATCTAAATGCCTTCACGTGACTTATTTGATGGCCTGATATTCATCTGGTGTCCGTTGGTTGATACGGGCTCTTAGAAGTCTTGTCTAGCTTATTGCCTAGGGACCCCTTCCTCCTCCCACAGCTTCACATAATCCATCAGTGAAAGGTTAACATCTGGCACCTTTGGGCCCTCCAGGCTGGGCTTCAGCAGTGTGATCAGCATCCCTTCCGATACTATGGATTTTGCTAAATATTCCACCATCATGCAGCTAATAAGATTCTACATCTGATCTCAGCTTCCCATCCCCGGGTTTATACCTTTGCCTTCTTCATCTGGCCACACTGACCCCTTTCAGCTCCCTGAACACCCTAAGCTCATGCCTGCTTTCCAGAGCATTCGCCAGCTCTGTGCCCTCTGCCTAGAATGTTCTCATCTCCAAGCCCTTTTTATCCTTCCAGCCTCCATTGGGCTGTTTCTTCTTCAGAGAGGTCTTCCTTTACCCTGCATCCACCTCAGGGTCCCTCCCTCATGCTCCGCCTCTGTGCTGCCTTTATTTTATTCGTAGAAGTCAGCCCAGCCTTGATTATCTGGCTTACTCACATGCTGTTATAAACTCTTCCCTGTGAGAATATATGTTCCACCCGGACTAGAACCTTGTCTGTGATGATCACTTTTGAACTCCCTAGTGACCTAACACCATGCCAGGAACTTACAGGTCAGAGGAAGAGTCCCTTAAATAGAAGAAGGAAGACGTGGAAAGGAAGGTGCAGGAGAAAGACAGTGGGAGTGAGTGGAGAGGGTGAGGCCCACCAGATGGGAAGGCAGGAAGATGACAGCTGCACAGAGTGAATGCTTGCACCATGCTGGGCCCTGGGCTGAGGGCATGATGACCACACCCTTAAACTCTCACCGTGACCTTGTGTGTGTGCTTAGTCACTCAGTCGTGTCCGACTCTTTGTGACCCCATGGACTATTGCCCGCCAGGCTCCTCTGGCCATGTGGATTCTCCAGGCAAGAATACTAAAGTAGGTTGCTATGCCCTCCTCCAGGAGATCTTCCCAACCCAGGGATCGAACCCAGGTCTCCCACATTGCAGGCGGATTCTTTACAGTCTGAGTCACCAGGTAAACCCAAGAATACTGGAGTAGGTCAGTTCAGTTGCTCAGTCATGTCCAACTCTTTGCGACCCCATGGACTGCAGCACATGAGGCTTCCCTGTCCATCACTAACTCCCAGAGCTTACACAAACTCACGTCCATCGAGTCAGTGATGCCATCCAACCATCTCATCCTCTGTCATCTCCTTCTCCTCCTGCCTTCAATCTTTCCTAGCATCAGGGTCTTTTAAAATGAATCAGTTCCTCGATTAAGGTGGCCAGAGTATTGAAGTTTCAGCTTCAGCATCAGTCCTTCCAATGAATATTCAGGACTGATTTCCTTTAGATGGACTGGTTGGATATCCTTGTTGTCCAAGGGACTCTCAAGAGTCTTCTCCAACATCACAGTTCAAAAGCATCAATTCTTCGGTGCTCAGCTTTCTTTATGGTACAACTCTCACATCCATACATGATTCCTGGAAAAACCATAGCTTTGACTAGACGGACCTTTGTTGGCAAAGTAATGTCTCTTCCTTTTAGTATGCTGTCTAGGTTGGTCATAGCTTTTCTTCCAAGGAGCAAGGGTCTTTTAATTCATGGCTGCAGTCACCATCTGCAGTGATTTTAGAGCCCAGAAAAATAAAGTCTCTTACTGTTTCCATTGTTTCCCCATCTATTTGCCATGAAGTGATGGGACTGAGTGCCATGATATTAGTTTTCTGAATGTTGAGTTTTAAGCCAACTTTTTCACTCTCCTCTTTCACTTTCATCAAAAAGCTCTTTAGTTCTTCTTCACTTTCTGCCATAAGAGTGGTGTCATCTGCATATCTGAAGTTATTGATATTTCTCCTGGCAATCTTGATNTTTCTCCACTGATCTCCAGTAGCATATTGGGCACCTACCAACCTGGGGAGTTCATCTTTCAGTGTCCTATCTTTTTGCCTGTTCATACTGTTCATGGGGTTCTCAAGGCAAGAATACTGAAGTGGTTTGCCATTCCCTTCTCCAGTGGACCATGTTTTGTCAGAACTCTCCACCGTGACCCGTCCGTCTTGGGTGGCCCTACACGGCATGGCTCATAGTTTTATTAAGTTAGACAAGGCTGTGGTCCATGTGATCAGATTGCTTAGTTTTCTGTGATTGTAATTTTCAGTCTGTCTCCCCTCTGATGGAGAAGGACAAGAGGTTTATGGAAGCTTCCTGATGGGAGACACTGACTGAAGGGGAAACTGGGTCTTATTCTGATGGGCGGGGCCATGCTCAGTAAATCTTTAATCCAATTTTCTGTTGATGGGCGGGGCTGTGTTCCCTCCCTGTTCTTTGACCTGAGGCCAAACTATGGTGGAGGTAATGAAGATAATGGCACCTTCTTCAAAAGGTCCCATGCATGCACTGCTGCACCCAGTGTCCCCAACCCTGCAACAGGCCACCACTGACCCACACCTCTGCCAGAGGACATTCACAGGCAATTCTGGGTCAGTCTCTTGTGGGGTCACTTCTCCTTTCTCCTGGGTCCTGGTGCACACAAGGTTTTGTTTGTGCCCTCCAAGAGTCTGTTTTCCCAGTCCTGTGTAAGTTCTGGAGGCTCTATGGTGGGGTTAATTGCAACCTCCTCCAAGAGGGCTTATGCCATACCTATGTCTGCTGCAACCAGAGCCCCTGCCCTTGCAGCAGGCCATTGCTGACCTGTACCTCCACAGGAGACACTCAAGCATAGTTCTGGCTCAGTCTTTGTGGAGTCTCTGGGTCCTGGTGCATGCAAGGTTTGTTTGAGCCCTCTGAGCGTCTCCGGTTGGTATGGGGTTTGATTCTAAACGTGATTCCACCCCTCCTACCATCTTGCTGGGGCTTCTCCTTTGCTCTTCGACATGGGGTATCTTTTTTGGTGGGATCTAATGTTCTCCTGTCAATGGTTGTTCAGCAGCGAGTTGTAATTTTGGAGTTCTCACAGGAGAAGATGAGTACATGTCCTTCCACTCTGCCGTCTTGAATGCAGTGGGTAGTCTGTCCCTTTCCCAGGGGAATTTCCTTACCCAGGAATTGAACCAGGGTCTCCTGCATTGCAGGTGGATTCTTTACCAGCTGAGCGACTTGGGAAGCCCCACCATGACCTTAGCAAGTTTTTACTACTTCTCCTGTATTGTGAATGAGGAGAATGAGGCTCCAAATTGAAAGTGGTAGAATCCACTTACAATGCAGTAGACCCTGGTCCAATTCCTGGGTTGGGAAGATCCACTAGAGAAGGGATTGAAGGTCGTTGCTGAATCACGCAAAGACGCCAGGGCTCTTGGCCTCTGGAGGAGAAGAATTCAATCCGGGGCCAGAGACGAGGCTGGATCATTCAGAGCTTTTGTGTAATAAAGTTTTATTAAAGTATAAAGGAGATAGAGAAAGCTTCTGACATAGACATCAGAAGGGAGTAGAAAGAGTACCCTCTTGCTAGTCTTAGCACTGGAATTATATACTCTCAAATTAGTTATTATAGTAAATCAAAAGAATGGAGGTTGTAAAGACCTCACCAGACCTACTCCCATAATTTACAATTTGACATAACAGAATTAGCCAGAAGGTTTTTTCTTTTTTAAGAGACTGTCCTCAAGCAGGATCCATTATTGTTATATAATCCTTAGGAATGTAGAGGGAAAAAAAAGTTTGTCCTTTCTTCCTCCTTGAGAATTCCAGACCCCTCTCTCCATGGGGACCCCTAGACTTCTTATCAACCTGACTAGAAATTGACTCTCTCAGGGATAGGCTACCCATTCCAGTATTCTTGGGCTTGCCTGGTGGCTCAGCTGGTAAAGAATCTGCCTGCAGTGTGGGAGACCTGGATTTGATCCCTGGGTTGGGAAGATCCCCTGGAGAAGGGAAAGACTACCCACTCCAGTATTTTGGCCTGGAGAATTCCATGGATCGTATAGTCCATGGGGTCGTGAAGAGTCGGACACAGCTCATCAACTCACTCACTTGCCCACATCCACAGCTAGGCAGTGCAGAAGATAGAGTTCAGTCCCGAGCTGGCCTGCCTGCTGCTTGCACCCTTAGCTGGACGCTGCAGGGAGAGACAAGGCCAGCCTCAACCATGGTGGGTCAGTGGTTCTCAAACTGATAAGATTCTTAAGTGCTTAAGAATCACCTGTAGTGTTTACTTAAAATGGAGAATTCCGATTTCATGTCAGAAGTTTGCTTCAGTAGGCCTCGGATAGGGGCCCTAGAGCCATCTTTTTAGTATCCTTTGTACAGGCTTTTTTTTTCTTCTTGCTCTTGAAGATGACCAGTCATCTTCCTACCTTTGCATTTCCGAGATCCAGTATGGGGTACAGAGCTGGTGTTCAGTAAGCATTATCTCAACAAATAGATGACTGACTGAATGAATGAGTGAATGTTTTCATTTTGGATCCCTTTTTTTTCCCGCAAGTAAGACAAATTTTGAGAATAATTCAGGTCGTATTGGAATTTAATAGGGTGTTAATTCTAATCACTTTCCTCCTCTCTGGACTGTAACCTAATTGTGTTTGAAAAGTAGAGAAGACTGTAGATTTCATTCCCTTTTCCACCCACTGGACCAAACATTTTTGTTGTTGCTATTGAATTGTGTCATGCTAATGGTGAAGGGTTGATTTTGATGGCTTATTTGATATTATTTATTTGGCCAAATATCCTAACATCTGCTAGCTTTTCTTCTCAAGGCTCCAAAATTTTAGGAAATGGAGTAACAGATAAATAGGTCCCATTTTTTTCCTTCCTTTCTTTTCCTCCCAGCCAGTCGTGGTTCCAGGATAGGTGATAAGGGACTCGTGAAGCGCTTAAAGCATGTAAACCCTGGGAGACAGCCATGCTTCCTGGGGGCCCAGGAGGACTCTTAGGTAAAGAGCGTGGAGGAAGGGTGGAGTCACTGGGCCTGCTCACCATCCTGGATCTTCTCTCCTTGACTTGGTGTACGTAATCCCCAGGGCAGCCACATTGTTATTAAAAATCTGCAAGGATGGGGGTGCATTTGGTCAGGAGGAGTTGGAGAAAATGAAATGGCATGGCTTGTCTTCTTAGGTTTCTCAAAAGCAAAGGAGACACTTGGGAGGACCAAACAGCAGGCAGGGTGGAGGGACTAGGATGCCCCACGCTGCCCATCAGGGAAGTCACGTACTAGAGGAGTCAACTCAGGAAGAGTGTGGCCAGGAGGGCGGGCTCTCATTCATTCATTCCATAATTGTTTATTCCACTCCACTGTGTTATGTTCATTGCTGTAGCCTCAGCGTCTAGAAAAGAATACAACCATGAACATAACAAAGTCCCTGCCCTCTTGGAGCTTATATTCTAGTCGAGGAGAAAGAATATATATAAGTGCATTTTTTTAAAATTAAGCAAATAAATAAACTGCAGACTCTGTTGGATGGTGATGAGTTCTATGTAGAAAAAGCAAGAAGTGGGGAAGCAGAGAGTTTCTGGGGCAGAGCAAGTAGACATTTTACTAGGGCAATCCAAAAAAGTTCTCCTTGAGAAGGTGTCATTTGAGCAAAGACCTTGTAGGAGATTAGGTTCCTGGGAAGCCAACTCTGACACTCATAGAGAATGATCACAAATTTAGTGATTTTTAAATAACATAAATGTATTATTTTACAGTTCTGGACATCAGAAGTTCTAAATTCAAGGTATTGGTAGAGCTGTGTGACTAGATGCCTTAGGGAGAATCTACTTCCTTTTCTAGTTGTAGAAACCACCTGCATTCCTTGGCTTATGGCCTCTTCCTTCATCTTTAAGACCAGTAGCATAGCATTTTCAAATCTCTCTCTCTGACTTCTGCTTCTGTCACTCCATCTCCTCTGTCTCTGACTCTCCTGTCTCCCTCTTATAAGGAACCTGTAGTCACATTGGACCCACCCAGAGAATCCAGGATAATCTCCCCTTCTCGAGGTCCTTCCTGTAATCACATCTACAAAGTCCCTTTTGCCACATAGGGGAACATATTCACAGGTTCTGGCCCCATCTCCGGAGGTGATAATTCTGCCTACCACAGATGGAAGAGCATTTCAGGCAGGAGAAACTGCTTAAACAAAAATATAATAAACATAGTGCCATGTGTGAATGCACAGGAAGAAAAATGAGAGTTTTTGGTTCTGGGTTCTAACATAGGAGGGGCTAGGGGTTAGTCTGAGTAGAATGGGAGGCCAGGGGATGTGTTCTGAAGCTGCCATATTGTGTGATGAGCACACCATCTTTACTTAAATGACGTGTTTGTTTGTGGTGGCTTGTGGAGGGAGGAGTGGTTTAGAGACTGGGAAAGGCCTAACACCATGCTGACTGGGAGGGGCAACGGGTACCCCTATGGTCGGTTTTATAAATTATAGAGTCTATAAATCCACAGTGTGCTACAGCATGGACACTGTAAATGAGACACCCCAGAATCCAGGGTCACTTCCTCCTCTGTCCCCCACCATCTGGGTGGGGAGGTGAACCCCAGGTGACCCCAAGAAGGGCCGAGCAGCTCCTGGGTCCCTTCTCAGGTCGGCAGAGGTATGGCTCGGGCTCCTGCTGCCTCAGTGTCTGTCCCGAGTGACCACCAATGCCGACAAAGTTCCTAACCCCAGAGAAAAGAATTGCCTCTGTCACATGGAGTGTCCAGTAGACATGGGATCATAGGAAGAGGCTGGATCCAAATTCTGAAGATGTGTGCAGATCTCAGCTGTCTTGCTGGCAGACGATGCAGACCTGGGCATTACTTAACCTCTCAGAGTCTCAATTTCCTCATCTGGAAAGTATGGATAATAACTTCTACTCCACGGGGCTGTTGAGAAGATTTGATGACTTCATGCTTGGAAAGTGCCTTCCAAATAAAGAGCTTTATAATTTTTTAAGTGTTGAGTTTTGGGAAGCAGATTCTAGCTTGGAAGGTGGTCATCCTCTTAGGATTCCATAGCCCCTCTCAGTTAACCAGAAAATACTGTTTTCCAGAGCAGACTGTGGCAGAACATTATGGGGGAACAGAATGTATGGTCCCAGGCATCTGTGCCCTGGCTGAGAAGAGGAGGTGGAGACCTTTAAGGCTGACTTTTTCTCCCTCTCTCTGCACCCTGCCTGATTCTTCATGTTGGTGGTTACCTAAGAATCCAGGTCCCCCACACCTGCACCCCAAGTTGGTGGCTGGAGGGGGGTGGTCAGTGTAGCAAGACAGTGAAATATACTCTCTCCTGCACACGGGAATGCTTCCAACAGCTTGGCCATATTTGAAATTCAAATAGATGCAGCACTTCCTGCACTGTATTAACTTCCATGATTACTAGGGAGAAAGGCTCCTGACAGAACTCGCAGGTTCAACCATGTAACGGTTTTGTCTATGGAGCCCGTCCTGGGTCTGCTGAGAGTGGGGGAGGGACTCAGGAGCGCCAGGCACAGCCTCTCCGTTAAGGCCTCCTGCAAACTAAAAGCACAATTTTGCACTTGCTTATTCAAGCCCAGGGAGAATTTGAGTCTCAACCTCTGACCCACAGCCAGGTTGGCCAGGGCAGGTCCCATGGGCCCCGTGCTCAGCACAGGTTCGGGGTATTGTCCCCTCCTCCCAAATATATACCAAGGAATTGATGTGCCGAGCACGGGCTAAGTGCTTCTCCATAACTATCTCCAGCGCACTTCAGAGCAACCCTGTGAAAGCAGGTTCTATAATTCCCATTTTAGAGACTGGAAGAATAAGGCCCAGATGGAAATGGAATCAGACTCACCTGAGTTAGAAATCCATCTCCCAAACCAGATCCCATCTCTCAAGATAAGCGTGTGATTTGCACCATATACTGATCCTCTCAGTTTTGCTTTATTCACCTGCAAAAATGGGGATTGTTTACTGACTTGAGGGGTTTCTGTGAGAAATAAATGAATGAACGTGTGTAAATTACAGGTAGGAACTCCATGAGTGGCACCTATGCAATGGATTTACCTGAGTCTGGTGGTTCTATGGGGCCCTTGTCTTTGACCTGGGTTCATTCCCTGGGTTGGGAAGATCCCTTGGAGAAGGGAAAGTCTATGCACTCCAATATTCTGGCCTGGAGAATTCCATAGACTGCATAGTCCGTGGGGTGGCAAAGAGTCAGACCTGAGAGAATTTCACTTTCACTTTTCCATGCTCTGCTCCAAGGGGGCGCCATTCAGAATCTGGACTCCAACACCCACTCCTGTCTCTGTAAAAAAGCTCCCAGAAAGGGAGTTTCCAAAGAAATTAGAAGAGACCAGAGCAAAATAATTTAAACTTAAAATGAAACTCCAAACTGAGCCCAAAGCAAGGCCTTCTTAGCATACTCCATCAGCTACATCTAAGCGGAGCACTAGGGCTGGGGCAGAGCCTACAGTTTGCTTGCTGTGGGGCCTTAGGATCTCATAGGATAGTAGTGCAGTGGGATTCTTGAATGAATAAATGAATGAACTCAAGCAGTGTCTGGAGAAGCATGAGGCAGCCCAGTACGGAGAAGTAAGAGGCATGGAGAAGGACGCTTTGGCCAGGGGACCCTGGGCCAACCTTGTGTTGCCACCTGCCAGTTGTGTGACCTCAGGTGATGCAGTCATGTGTCTGGGCCCTTAGGTTTCCTGCTTGTAAAATCGTAGGTGGGGCAGTCTAGACTCCAGCACTTTGGCACCCAGTGTCTGGGTCCAGGAGGCCCCGACAGCACCATAGGAAGAACCTCTGCAGTGGGATTTGTCTGCATCCTGTGATGGGTCTGTTCCAGAGCACAGGCAGGCCGCATCACTCTGATGAGGCAGACTGTTTATCGTATACTTTTTATTTTGTGTTGGGGTAGGGGTATAGATGATTAAATCTTCCCTGGTGGCTCAGATAGTAAAGAATCTGCCTGTGATGTAGGAGACCCGAGTTCGATCCCTGGGTCAGGAAGATCCCCTGGAGAAGAGAATGGCTACCCACTCCAGTATTCTTGCCTGGAGAATCCCATGGACAGAGGAACCATGGGGTTGCAGAGAGCCAGAAACACTGATGAGCGGCTAACACTACACCCAGTTAACAATGTTGTGATAGTTTCAGGTGAACAGAGAAAGGACTCATCCGTACATATGAAAAGGAAGGAAGTGAAGTCGCTCAGTCGTGTCCGACTCTTTGTGACCCCAGGGACTGTAGCCTACCAGGCTCCTCCGTCCATGGAATTTTCCAGGCACGAGTACTGGAGTGGGTTGCCATTTCCTTCTCCAGAGGATCTTCCCGACCCAGTGAATGAACCCAGATCTCCTGCATTGCAGGCAGATGCTTTACTATCTGAGCTATCAGGGAAGCCATGTATCCAAACTCCCCTCCCATCCAGGCTGCCACATAACATAGAGCAGAGTTCCCTGTGCTATATAGTAGGTCCTTGTTGGTTATTCATTTTAAATATAGCAGTGTGTACGTGTCCACCCCAAGCTCCCTAACTGTCCCCTCCCCTCATCCTTCCCCCTGGCAACCATAAGTTCGTTCTCTAAGGCTATTTCTGTTTTATAAGTTCATTTGTATCATTTCTTTTTAGATTCCACATATGATATTTGTCCTTCTCTGTCCAACTTATTTCACTCAGTATGACAGCCTCTAGGTTCATTCATGTTCTGCAAATTGCATTATTTCATTCTTTTTAATGGCTGAGTAATGTTCCATCATTTATATGTACCACATTCATTTCTCTGTTAATGGACATTTAGGTTGCTTGATGAAGCAGCGCTCTTAAATTTAAACTGCCTACATCGGCATTTTATCTCCAGAGGGCATGTGAGACCATTAGCATAGATGGACATCCCAAAACATAGACATGTAAGGCTGCAGAGAACTTTTCCCCTCCTTATTTCACTGCCATTTCATTTTCTTCCCTGCCCACAAGGTGCCAAGCTTCTGGAGGAAGGAGCCCCACCTTCCACTCTTTTGGGATCCCTCCAAGCAGGGCACTGTGTTGACCATGGGGCGTGATAACATCCACAGTCCTGCAGAGTCTGTGTACCTACGCCACATCACCTCACTTGTCAGGCCTCTGCTTTTGCATCTGAAGATAAGGGTAGTAAGGCCTCTTCATTGCTAAACGAAAGATGTGAGGGTTCACTGAACTGATGAGTTTAGCCCAGTGCCTGGTTTGCAGTAAGTGCTCAACAAATGTCAGAGCTCTTCTTCCCTTGCTAGTAGATCTCCGCTGTACAAATGATTAATGTGTGGTTGCTAGAACCTTAGTCCTGAACTGTCCATGGGGACAGGGAGGAAATGATTTGAGTGATTGGGGCTGGCTCACTTGTCTCTGGTCTATATTATTCTTACTGAGTCTCTCTCTCTCTCCCTGCCTTGCCTTCCCTCCTTCCCCCCCCCCTCTTTCTTTCTTTCCATTTTCTTCTCTTCCCATAATAGAGTGGAAGAAAAATCTAATTCCCACTCTGGATTAAGAAATGTTTTTTTTTAATGGAGTATTTTTTAAATGTGGAATTTTTTCATGGTGTTTCAGGTCAAGGAACTTAACGTTGGAAATGGTGCCCTTTTTCAGAGCAGATGGACCCCATATAGGAGCTCCTGAGATGTTATGTAACAGCACATTTGGCTTTGACAGGTTTGAAAGGAGTGACATTAGAGAGAGAAAAATATGGCACTGTAGAGGATGGGTTTTCTTCCTCTTGCTCACAACATAACTTGAGATGAGATTGGTGTGCTCTGATAGCTCTTTTTGCTCTTTTCCTTGCAGTATGCAAGGTGGAAACCTCCTTTCTTTTTCAGCTGGGTGCTGAGACTCTGAAGGTGAACTTGTTTAGAGCATGTTGAAGGCAGGGTTGTCTGTGACTCTCTCCACCTTCTGTGGTCCTGAACACTCCTAAGAGTTGTATGAAATGGATACATGTGCTCCCTGGAGCTTATAAATAACTGTCTTCACATGCCCCTTCTAATTCATCCTCCACACACCTGCCACAACACACTATTAAACACAGAATATGTCTTGCTTTAAATTCTCTGTAGGTTTCCCACTGCTCTCAGAGTCCGGGCCCCTTGGGATGGGACCCCTGCCTGCCTCCCTGACCCCCTCCCTGCCTCCCCGGCCCCCTCCCTTACTGCTTCCCCTCTACCCACCCAGGGCTGCTTCCAAACAGTCGGACGCATGTGCTTCTTCCTGCATCTCTGCTTTTCCACCTATTCATTCATTCAACAAACAAGTAGTGAGCACAAACTATGTGCCAGGCACTGTATTTGCTTCCAAGGTTGAGAATGACACAGACAGGTCAAAAGGCCTCTGCCTTCATAGAGCCTACAGTCCTAGGGGCAGACCGTGAAAGGGAGATTCTTAAAAATTTAGAAAGATGCATCAATCAAGTAACCACCAATTGTAATGAGTGATGGATTAAAAAAGATAAGATGTGATATGGGATACTGGGGCTGGGCTGAAACACATTTATACATGATGGTCAGGAAAGGCTGTTACATTTCTGCTCAGAAAGTACTGCCTCATATGGAGCAGCAAGGGGAATGTGATCTAGGTCTAGGGAGCAGCATGTGCAAAGACCCACAGATGAGAATGAGTTTGCTGTACTCAGAGACCTAAAAGCAGAGCAAGTTGTCTGGATAGTTGTGAGCAAGAGGAATTTGAAAACCAGATCCTGGGGCTTGAAGGTAAGGTTATGAGCTGAGCTTTTCTGTTGGGAGCAGGAGTGAGTGATTAGAGGACTTTAAACAAGGGAGCAATGTCTTATTTATATTTTAATTCCTGCTAAAAGAGAATTAAAAGACGCTTGCTCCTTGGAAGAAAAGTTATGATCAACCTAGACAGCATATTAAAAAGCAGAGACATTACATTGCCAGCAAAGTCCGTCTAGTCAACGCTATGGTTTTTCCAGTGGTCATGTATAGATGTGAGAGTTGGACCATAAAGAAAGCTGAGCACCGAAGAATTGATGCTTTTGAACTGTGGTGTTTGGGAAGACTCTTGAGAGTCCCTTGGACAACAAGGAGATCCAACCAGTCCATCCTAAAGGAAATCAGTTCTGAATATTCTTTGGAAGGACTGATGCTGAGGCTGAAACTCCAATACTCTGGCCACCTGATGTGAAGAGCTGACTCCTTGGAAAAGACAGTGATGATGGGAAAGATTGACGGCAGGAGGAGAAGGGGACAATAGAGGATTAAATGGTTGGATGGCATCACCAACTCAATGGACGTGAGTTTGAGTAAGCTCTGGGAGCTGGTGATGGACAGGGAAGCCTGGCGTGCTGCAGTCCATGGGGTCTCAGAATAGGACACGACTGAGCAACTGAACTGAACTGAAGAGAGAATGAATGGGTTGGGGCAGGAATAGAAGTGGGAACCCCCAGACAGGAGGATGTGGCCTGGAGGAGGGGTACCAGTAGAAATAAAGAGAAATGGAGATGGGAGCTAAATTTGGAGGGTAAAACAGATAGGACTTTGCAACTGTTCTGAACATAGTGGGAGAGGGTGGAATACAGGTGACACTTCAGTTTCTGATTGGAGGGATTGGGAACATGGTGGAACTACTTACTGAGTGGGAGAGGTTCAGGGCAAGAAGGGAACAGGTTTGAGGGAAATTAAGTGTGCACCTGGAGTGTGCAAAGTTCTCGTAACACAGACTCCTTTGTGTTATTCACTGCACGTGGCCCAGCTCTTAGCCCTGTGTCCAGGACACGCCATGTGTGCTCACTCAGCCGTGCCCACTCTATGTGGCCCATGGGCTGCAGCCCTTCATGTTCCTCTGTCCAGGGATTTCCCAGGCAAGGATGCTGGAATGGGTTGCCATTTTCTCCTCCAAGGGATCTTCCCAACTGAGGGATTGAACCCATGTCTCTTGCGTCTCCTGCACTGGCAGGTAGATTCTTTACCACTAGTTCCACCTGCGAAGTCCAGCTCTTAGCCCTATGCCCAGTGCTCCTAAATGCTTGTTGAATGAATACATACACAAGTCTACCTAACTAGTGGGACTACAGCTTTGGTCCTTGCAGCTATAGATCTGCCCAGGGATACCCAGAGAGGCCACACTTGAATAGGCCCAACGAGGCCAGGCTACAAGGCTCGCAGGGCCTACTGCCACGTGAAAATGTAGGCCCCTTGTCCAAAATTAAAAAGTTCAATCTAGTGACGGGATAGCATTAAACCAAGCCCGAGGTGCTGTGCAGAGGTCACACGCCCACGCAGCTGACCTTGCTCCTAAGTAGCCAGCCAAATTCTTGAGCACAAACATGGGTTCATCCAAGGATTTTGAGATAAAGCCTGGTGCAGAACTTTCCTAGAGGCAGCAGCAGGAGCCCAGATGTTCAAGGAGTCCAGTGGGGACAAACTGTGTGCAGCCTGCAAATCCTGGGGGACAGTTCAGACGTGAGTGTCTCCTTGAAGACGTGTCCTCCCTGCCTCGTGGGGCAGCCCTGGTGCAGCCGGCAGTAGCCACGTTGGAGGTGGGAAGGCAGAGCCTCGTGAGGGTGTGGCTGGTGTCTTTCCTGGGGCAGATGGAGGAGTTGGCTCCTGCTCTCTGAACTCCAGGCCCCAAAGGCATGAAGACCCCAGAGCCCCCATGCTGGGTGGAAAGGGGAAATAGTTTCATTTCTTTCCTTTACTCTCTCTTTTTCCTGTAATATTTGTATCTGTTCAGTCAGGTTGCTTTGAATTATAATTATTTGTTATAAATAGTAATAACAAATTATCAATAGTAATATGAATAGTAATAACAAATGGCTGCTAGTTGCTATTATAAATAGTAATAACAAATGGCTTGATATGTGTCACCTTATCTGCAGGTCATGCAGCTAGTAAGGGACCAAAAAATAAAAAATAAATAGTGGGGAATCTAAACCCCTGTCTCTCTGTTTCCAAAGCTGAGGCATGATTCTACATTGCTGGGAGATGATCCATGCCACCTCTTAACTCTGTGATTTTAGGCAAGTCTCCTCATTTCTGAAAACTCTTACCACCTAAGTTGTTGAGATGGTTACGTGACTCCATCTAAAGTGCTGAGTTCTCATGTTGACTCAGAGAATGTTACTTGGTACTTGTTTTTCCTCCCTATTCCTTCACTGTTGAGGGATGGGATGCTCAGATTCCCTGCTGATTGAAGGATGGCCTTAGGTGGGAGAGAGATGCTTTTATGTCTCCGTGCCTCCTTTCATGCTGATCTTCCTGCCTGGAATGACCCTTCTTCTTGAGAGGGATCCTTTAAGAGCCAGTTGTGATGGGGTTCTTTTTATTTGGTGGTGTTTCCCCAACTAGACAGCAAACCACTGAAGGTGTGAGCAACGTCTCATTCACCACTGTTTCCTCTTCCAGTCCTGTGGCCTTTGCTGAGTTTTACAAATTTGCTGGCATATTGAGAGCAGCACTTTAAGAGTTCTTTGTACTCCATGCTGTACCCGTTAGATTCTGCTGCATAACAAATCACCCCCATACTATAAATGACTTCAACAATAAGCATCTCTTAATGCTCACACGTCTGGAGAGAGAGCAGGACAGTTCTTCTGGTCTCATGCATCCTCAGAGTCAGCTATCATTTGGTGCATCAGCTCTGCTTTCTGGGCTGGGCTGTCTCACAGGTTTGGGAGTTGGCTGGCTGCAGGCAGGTCTAGGATGGCCTCAGATGGCACATCTGATGGCCCAGAGCCGCATCTGGACCCTCCTCACAGACACTCCTCCTGCAGTAGGGTAGCCTAGGTTCATTCACATGGCTATACTGGGGCTCTAGGAGAGGGAGTGGAATTGAACAGGATTTCTTTAGATCTAGGCTCAGAATTGGGACACTGTCACATCTACTGTATTCTATGATGACATCACAAGGTCCAGCTCAGAATCAGTAGGGAAGGGTACTCCCAGAGAGTATGGATCAGAAATGTGAAAAATTAGAGATACAATGCACAATAAATATTTATTGAGTAAACAGATATGCACATCCTTATGGGGACCATTCTAAGCCTTTTCCATTGTTAAAAGCTGAATGTTTGTGTCCCCCGTAAAATTTATGTGGTAAAGCCTAAACTCACAATGTGATGATGATGTTTGGAAGTGGGAGGTGCTTGGGTCATGGGGATGGAGCCCTTGTGAATGGGATTAGTACTCTTATAAAAGTCTTCCCTGGTGGTTCAGATGGTAATGAATGCAGGAGACCTAGGTTTAAACCCTGGGTGGGGAAGGTTCCCTGGAGAAGGGAATGACTACCCACTCCAGTATTCTTGCCTGGAGAATTCCATGGACAGAGGAGCCTGGCTGGCTGCAGTCCATGAGGTCGCAAAGAGTCAGACGTGACTAACACTTTCACTTTTCAGAAGAGACCCAGGAAAGCTCCCCTGCACCTTCTGCCATGTGAGGTTATGGCAGAAAGATGGCCATTCATGAACCGGGAAGGCAGTTCCTGCCAGACACTGGATCTGCCAGTACCTCAAGCTAACAGCCTCCAGAATTGTGAGATTTAATTTTCTGTTTATATGCCACCTAGTCTATGGTATTTTGTCTTAGCACCCCAAATGGATTAAGACATCCATATCAACACATCTGATCCTGACAACAACACCCTGAAGTAGTTATTAAGTTGTATCCCCTTTAGAGATGAAGAACAGAAACAGAGAGGTTGTTTAAGTGGCCCAATATCACACAGCCAGGAGGTGATAGAACCTGGATTTGAACATGGACAGTCATTTGGCTGCAGAGACCATGTAAGTGGCCAGAAAGGTAGTCTTATCACCTCTCTCTCTCTCCATAATCCTGAAAAGACCTTAATATTGTTCACAATCCCTTCTATTAGCCTGGAATAGCTGTTTGACAAGTTTGTTGTTGATGGCTATGGTTGCTTTTAATCTGAGGGTGTGGGACTTTGAGATATGGCACTCAAGGCTCATCTAAATACAAACTACTTCAAAAGCTGTCCCAAATTTTACTGCCTGGAAGCAGAGCCGGCTTGCCGAGAGATAGACTCCGAAGTTTTATTAACTGTCACCATGGCAATTTCAAAGACATTGGTTATGCCAAAAGATTTCCTGACACTTCTTATTCATAATGGCACTGTCAGGCCCCAGGCAGGCTGATCTATGACTTTTAATCAACTAATGGATGGGGTCTCCAGGTACAGATTCCCAGCGTTCAGTCTTGTTAGAGCAGAAAGAATTCTGCGACCACAGAGCCGTCCCAGCTCCCAACCGATAACCAGAGTCCTTTGGGGCAGATGGTGGTAACATGGCCATCTTCAGCCCAATGCAAAGCAGCGGTGTCACCCGAAACCCTGGAAGCATGGCCTCAGATGCCCGTTGCGTGCCACGCCCCACACCCTGTCCCTCCTTCTGTCCCTCCTGCTTGGCCCAGTGGACCGAGAGAACCAGTGGCTCAAGTGTCCACCCCCGTGAGAGGCAGTCAGGACGTGACAGTTACAGTGAAGCCTTTGGCAACAGGGAGCAATGATGTTGGGTTCCTGCTATGTCCATTAGTGGCTATGTGACCTTGGGCAGCTTGCTTGACCTTGCCACGCTTCAGTTTTTTCCTCTGTAAAATGAGACTTAAAGTGCTGTGAAGATTGAAATGGGTGATATATTTAACTTTGCAAAAGTTGGGTGTAAGAACTTGATAATCTTTCTCTGCTGCCGTCTTCATTTTCTTCCACCTTCTCACTGAGACGGAGGCCGTCAGCTCCTCCCAGGCTGGAGGAGAAGGGAAGTAGTAGGTACTGGGTCCCTGCTGCGTGCCAGGCACTATTTCATGCAGGCTCTTTTATTTCACTGTCACAATTCCCTGTGGGACAAAGGGATTTTATTGTGACTTGACAGGTAAAGAGAATGGGGTCAGAGAAATTAACTGACTTGTCAGGTCATTGAGCAAGCAGGAGCAGAGCCTACTCTGAAGCCCAGTTCGTGCTGAGACCAAGGTCCACACCCTTTGGGCAGTTGGCACTAGGACTCAACCCAGATCAGCAACCTCACTGATACTTGTTTAATGAGACAGGGCAGAATCTGGTGGGATGGGCCTCCTCCTGAAAGTCTCCAAAGATAGAAACTCAGCATGGTCAGGCTGATGGAGACCACCAAGGACCCAAGAGTGTCCTAGCTTAAGCGGGCTCTACTTCCTCACATGGTCAAGGGACTTGTTCCAGAGACATGCAGCCAGCTGGGGGCAGGGCCAGGACTTAAACCCAGATGTCTCAGGGACTTCTGTGGCCAGAAGGGCCCGTTAGGGTGAGGGCAAGCTGACAGACAGCTCACTCCATCTGGACGCACCCTCCCCAGCTCCTCTCACCACCGAGTTATCAGCTGCCTTGCACGAATGAGGCCGCAGAACAGGGAACCGTCGTGTATCAGGAACCCTGGGATGAGGCCCTTCTCTTTGTTCTTCTGCCACCTTCTTCTTGCCCACTCTGCACCAGGCCCTGGGATAGATGCTGGCAGCTTGGTGGATGCCTTGAAGTGCTAAGTGCACTGAGGATGCGGTTGGTCTCTGCTCTCTCATCCTCTCCTGCAGAACTTTGCAGTGTTCTGCCCCAAATGATAAGAAAAATCCAGTGGTAATAAAAACAGCTGATGTATATATGTGGGGAGTAGCACTGTGCCAGGTACTTTAGATTAATCTCATTGATTCTCCTCATAACCCTGTGATAACAGTGCTATTATCCACTTTTTACAGCTAGGGAAACTGAGGCCCAGAGACATTTAGGTGATTTGCCCAAGCTCCCATGCCAGGCCGTGAGGAGTTAGATTTGGTTCTAGAGAATCTGAAGCCAGAACCCCACATTGCTGCACTGAATCCTGTTGTAAATATTTTCATCCCTGTATTGATTTTTTTAACAAATGTTAACTGAGTGCCAGGTAGTATGACAGACACTAGAGATTCAGCAGTGAATAAAATGGACAAAAATCCCTGCTCTCATGGACCTGACAATCTGGAGGGATAGACTATAAACAAAATTTAAAACTAAGATACATAAGATGTTAGAGAAAAATACAAGAAGGGAGCTAGGGACTGCTCAGGTGCAATTTTTAGAAGGCTGATCAGAGCTGGCCCCCATGATGAGGTGATTTTGAGCAGAGCCTTGAAGCAGGTGAAGAAGCACCTGTATACCTGTCTAGGGGAAGAATATTCCAGGCAGAGGGAATAGCAAGTGCAGCCGCCATGAGGCAGGTGGGGGCAGGGAGGCCAGTTATCATGCTCTAGGTTATTAGGCATTCATTAAACCACAGGATAGTGCCTGCTTTTTCTTCAGAGGGAAACCCAGGCTTGCGGGCTGACATTCATGGCCCTCTGTGGTCCCGCCTGTGTGATGCGGTGTTGAAGGGATGAAGCTGACCCACCAGAGCACCCCCTGCAACCTGGCTGGGTGAGCACAGTGCCCCTACCCTCCAGGCACACATCAGCCCCTGACTGTCCTGTCTTCCGAGATTAAAGCTGCACTGGTGGGGGGAAGGGCATAAAAAGGAATTAGCATAGTGAAACTGCCGCAGGATTTGGGGAGAGCTAGTCTGAGGGATTGATGGGAAAGGGGACCCAGCAATGTCTGGCTTCTCTTGAGTTTTTAGTGGAAGATGAGCTGGCCCCCTCTACCCTGCCAGAGCCCCGCTGCTGTGTCTGGAAAGTGGCGGTTTCTCCCCAGACCCTCAACAGGTTTCCAAGTCAACTGTTTTCTGGTACGAACTCACCAGCCCTGTTCTTTCCTTGGTAAGAAAATGAGGAGAGAGAAAGAGCTTTGGACTGGGGAGAGAAGGCCTGGGTTCTAGGCTCAGCTCTTTACCTCGCAGCTTTGTGACCTCAGGCAAGTGACCTAACTTCTCTGAGTTGTTTCTTCATTGGCCAATGAGGAAGTCCACGGTCCTTCCATGGTCATTATGAGGTTATACTGACATACTGATGGGGGAAAAGAGTTTGAAAACTCCATGGGCTCCCTCAGAGGGGCCACAGCATTGCTTCTATTGCTCACTTGGCATCCCTTTGCCATCTTACTTTAGGGCTATGCAAGGCACTCGGAGAGAGGGTCCTAATGTGGGCAAGGCACTGAACAGTTTGTTTAAACTCTTGCCCCCTCTCCTGGGTTGAGTAATATCCCTGAAAATTCATGTCTACCTGGAACCTCAGAAAGTGAAAGTGTTAGTTGCTTAGTCATGTCTGACTCTTTTTGACCCCATGGACCCCTGGTGGCAATTTGTGAGGACAGTCCTGGGAAACAGATAGGCCAGCTCTCCTTGGTTTTCAGATCCTTGATTCTACGGCTTCTGAATAATCAACTTCCTACTTGGGTCTTCTCTGGCAGATCTGCACAGAAAAAGAAAGACATTTTGTGGGTGGGGATGAGGGGGAGGGAAAGGGCATGGATTAGCCTAGAGTAAGGAACCCAAACATCAGAGATTCACAGCAAAGCTTCCAGAGAAGGAAAATAAACCAGGCCTGGAGCTGGGAACCTCGAGGGTGGCGCTCCAGGCATAATCAAGTGTTCCCCCTGGCAATATTCCAAAGTCAGCTAGACTTGAAGTATGCTAATGAATAAATAAGGAGAGCCAACCCGAGCCAAGGTTTCTCTGGAGAGTTCCATTGATTTTGCATCGCGGGTGGGGACAGAGAAGAGGGTGTCCTGGGAGAAGACTGTGGGGAAAAAAGTCTGAGTCCTTCCTGGTTGATTGTTTCTCTTTGGGGCTCCTGGGGATTTCCTGAGATTGAAATCAGCCTCAGTTTAGAAATCCCTTTAGTAGAGGACAGAGCAGGGCTTAAAAGCCCTGGGGATCTTTTTTGCACTGACTTTTTATTTGCAGAAAATTTATTATTAAAAAAGGTCTTATTTTCATTGATGCCTTTAAAAAGAGGTGAGATTTTAATATTCGTCTAATATTCAATGAATAAAACTATCTTGAGTGCATCTTTCAGCCCTCCTGTGATCTCTCTTGTGTTTGGAACAGTTTTTTGTTTTTGTTTTTGTTTTTTCTTGAGAGTTGAGAAATCCTCTAAGCAAATGTTTGGGGAAAAGCCAAAGTTTTCCTGGGAATCAATGGGTGGGTCTTGAAAGTCAGTCAACAAGTAGATTTGTGGACCCTTCTGAGGGCCTGGAACTCTGCTGGAACTTCATGGCAAGATAGAATGATGAGAATGGTGATAATGATGGTGATGAGGTTGATGATGTGATAGTGATGATGGTGATAAGGGTGATGGGCATGATAATGATGGTGGTGATAATAGTGATGGTAACAATGGTGATTGGGGTGGTGGGGATGGGATGGTGATGATTGTGGTGTTAGTGATGCTCAAGATCACTGTCATGATGATACCGGTGATCATCACGTCTAATGACTGGCCATGTCCTGGCCACCTGCTAAGCACTTTTCACACATGAGATCATTTCATCATTACAAGGTGACCTGGTTATCTGGGGAGGAGCACCCCAGGTAGAGGGAACCACAGATGCTGAGATCCTGGGGTCTGGGTGGTCTTATTTATTTGAGAAACAGCATGTCTAGAGCAGTGATTCTCAACTCAAGTCCTTTTTACCTGCTCAAGGGATGTTTGACAATGTCTGGAAACATTTTTCGATGACACAACTTGTGGGGCAGGTATTGGCGATACTTCTGGTGTCTAGAAGCCAAGGATGCTATTAAACTTCCTACAGTGCACAGGCCAGCCACACCCTGCTCCATCAAGCCATCAGCCACTGTCCCTGCCTCTCTTGATACACCCTGAGAGGACTCAGGAGGGATGTTTATGTCTTTCATGTTCTTGTATGAAACAAATTTTCTCTGCATTTCTGCCTCTCAGGGCTGTTTATCATTCATTCATTCACTCATTCATTTCACAATCACTTGTTTAAACTCTACTACGTGCCCCCAATATTTGCTAGAGATGGAGGATACTGAGCTGAACAAAGCAAATCAGTGTGGGGAAGATAGACAAGTAAACAACTATAATAAGCTGAACCATATTTATAATTTTAGCTTCTGCCTTTAGCATCCTTTGGGCAGATGCTGCTTGCTTTGAGGAAAAGCCTTGATGAGAGGCTTGTGATAGAAGTTGGAGCTTAAGGCCCAGGGGATGGGGTGGGAGGGAATTAGGAGGGCCCAGCAAAGAAAAAGCTGGTCGGTTTCCTCTCTAAGGAGGAAACAGGAGTTGGACCTGCCCCTAAGAGGGGGCAGCAGAGGCAAGAAGGGAGCAGAGTAAAGGAGGAGGGGAGGGGAGGGGAAGGCAAGGGCCAGTGAGATGAGGAGGCTTGAGACATGGAGAGCTGCGGGTGGGGTGGAGGGCCAGGAAACTTTGGGGCCGTTTAAGAAGAGGACCCCACATTTGGTTGGGTTGTAAATGACCCCTTTTCTCCAACAGTTCAGTTCAGTCGCTCATTCGTGCCCAACTCTTTGCGACCCCATAGACTGTAGCACACCAGGCTTCCCTGTCCATCACCAACTCCAGGAGCTTGCTCAAAATCATGTCCATCAAGTCGGTGATGTCATCCAACCATCTTATCTTCTGTCATCCCCTTCTCCTCCTGCCTTCAATCTTTCCCAGTATCAGGGTCTTTTCCAAGGAGTCAGTTCTTCGCATCAGGTAGCCAAAGTATTGGAGTTTCAGCTTCAGCATCAGTCTTTCCAATGGACATTCAGGACTGATTTCCTTTAGGATGAACTGGTTGGATCTCCTTGCAGTCCAAGGGACTCTCAAGAGTCTTCTCCAACACCACAGTTCAAAAGCATCAATGCTTCAGTGCTCAGCTTTCTTTATAGTCCAGCTCTCACATCCATACATGACTACACCACAGCACAAATGTCCAGCAAAGACTTCTCACACAAGATTTGTGGAGTGGATTCAGGTGGGCATCACAGAAGGGTCTGGTTATTCTGGGAATGAGACTTAGTGGGAGAGGAGCTGGAGACTGCAGTGACCACACATAAGACCCACTCCTGGGAATCTTTGGACAACTTCAGGAAGTGTCTTTTGACTTCTGAGGGATNGCCAAGGAGATCCAACCAGTCCATTCTAAAGGAAATCAGTCCTGAATATTCATTGGAAGGACTGATGCTGAAGTTGAAACTCCAGTACTTTGGCCACCTGATGTGAAGAACTGACTCCTTGGAAAAGACCCTGATGCTGGGAAAGATTGAAGGCAGGAGGAGAAGGAGATGACAGAGGATGAGATGGTTGGATGGCATCACCGACTTGATGGACATGAGTTTGAGCAAGCTCCTGGAGTTGGTGACGGACAGGGAATCCTGGCATGCTGCAGTTCATGGTGTCTCAAAGAGTCGGACACGACTGAGTGACTGAACTGAACTGAAATAAAACAGTGAGAGAAGCTTGGGGCATTCAAGGAAGTAGGAAGAATCCGCGAAAGCTAAAAGGAGTGAAAGATACTGGTGTGTTCCGAATCCTGTGTGACTTGCTCCTCAGGTGGGAATGGAAGCTGCTGGTCTGGGGAGGTATTGTGGGAGCAGGACCTGCAGGCCTTTGCATCCGTGAAGATGACTCTTTTGCAGTGCTCACATACATGCACGGGAGGCTGTTCGGTGTGCAGGGCTGAGATCCTGGTTCTGCAGCCGGCTGGCCTGGGTGTGAAGCTTGCCTCTGCACTCATCAGCTTCTCTCCTCACGTTTCACCCTGCTCTGCAAACCGGGCTTCATACTCCATTATCTGTAATTGCAAAAGCCCCAGAGCTCTGGAAACCAGAGGATTTTTTTTTTTTTTTCATGAACTTGGCACAAATTCATCTGGCAGCTGAACCTGGCCCAGCGGGCGGGAGTCTGTCTGCAGTCTTCTTATTCTAAGTGGGGACAGTCCTAGGAGTGTCTGCAGGAGCGCTAAGGCGATGGATCCTCTGAGTGTTAGTAATCTACCCGCAATATCATCTTTCGAAAATTTAAAAAATTCGCAATTCTCAAACACCTCTGGGTTCCAGGACTGTGGAAAACGGATTGTGTATCTGTAGCGTCTATCTCATGGGATTGCCAAGGGGGATAAAAATCAGTTTATTCAAGTGGAGCACTGAGAACGGTGCCAGACAGCACGTGGGTGACACTGGACGGGAGCTCCCCGTGTCATGAGTGGGATGAACTATCAAACTCTAACATCCCCCTGTCTGCAGAGTTGGGGTGCAGTGGACAGCCAGGTGGGGAAGAGAGCCAACTGCGCCGACATTTGGCCTGAGCTTCTCGGGGGCCGCGTGAAAGCAGGCCTTTGTATGGTGCTGTTTCGGAGACCAGCAGGCATGCCCACTCTGGCCAGTGCTCCCAGTGGGCATCCTGTGGCCGCAGCAAGCTCAGCCTGGCCTGGCATGTGGCAGACAGCCTGCAAGCTCCTGGCAGCCCCAGGCTGTCTTGTCATCCTCTTGTCCTCAACACCAGCTGGGACATTCGATAATTGTTCACTGAATTGAATCCATCTATTGACTCTAGAAACAGCTAAGTCGAGTCTTGCTTGGGATGCTACGTTATTCTTCAGCCCAAGAGATACGTACACAGGCGCACGCGCACGCACACACACACACACACACACACACACACACACACACACACACATGTCAAGATCCAACTTATATTTTGGCCCCCTCAAGGCTCCAGAGAAACCAGTTTCTTGAAACGACGCTCTTTTTCCTCTTGCTTTTCTTTATCAGAGACTTTGGAGAAAGGACCAGGAGAACATGCTTTGTTTTACATCAAAGGCCATTCCCTGCTTTGGTTTATGATTTCTGGAGCCGCCTTGCTGCCTGCTGCCCACCAGTACAAAGAGCAGAGGCATGGCTGGCTGCAGCGGCTCCAGGTGTGGTCACCGACCGTCCCTCCAGATGGGATCCGCCCGAC